AGAAAGTTCATGACCTTTCTTTTAAAACGAATGGTTGTGTCTTTAATTTGGTTTTATCCGAAAACGTAGCAAAATTAAATCTTCCTATCTTAAGCCCGATTGTTGACTCGTCAAAGACCCGAACCCGACCGACTGACGGCGGCAGTGTATGCGTCTTAAGATTGTTATCCAAAATTCATGTAAATCTGCATGCATTAATTAGATAAATAGAAGTAAAAGAAAATACTTGTATCAACCGAGCCCAACAAAAGCGTTGTCTCCTTAAGACGTTTTTGCCCGACACACGTAGCAAGCGTCTCCCAGGATAGAACGGTTCTTCGCTCCCAAAGGGATTCCGGCGAACTCAAAGATGCAACGAAGGAAGAGAGAATTTGAGGAATTGTTTTTGAATTTTCGGATATCTCAAAAGTGAAGACAAGGCGGGTATTTATAGAGCTCTGGCCAGGAGTCTCTTAACCCAAAAGACACCTTTTAAAAGAAAGTTCATGACCTTTCTTTTAAAACGAATGGTTGTGTCTTTAATTTGGTTTTATCCGAAAACGTAGCAAAATTAAATCTTCCTATCTTAAGCCCGATTGTTGACTCGTCAAAGACCCGAACCCGACCGACTGACGGCGGCAGTGTATGCGTGTTAAGTATAATTTCACGCTTATCTTTCGGGGAATAATTTCTCATTCATTTCAAAATGATTTTTACAAATAATATTAATGACCATAATATTAATTTGTAAAACCATTTTTCCAACAAATTATTGCCTCAATCCCAATTTTGAGCATACAATTAAATTTTGAGCATACAATTAAATTAAACCTCTCTCTCTAATTACAAATCCCATAATCAATAAAACAAATCCACCAGTAATACTTATCCTCTACGGCAGTGTTTGTGAGAAAACAGAAAGTTGAATTCGGAATGGGCGTGTCTTTCACTCTATTTTAGTACTCCGTTCTTAATTCGTTCATTTAAATTTAGTCTAATCCATCTAATAACCAAATTTTACTCAACATTTATAGGGCATCCACCACAAAAACGTGTTCCATTAATTACAACAAATCTTAATACGTTTATCCATTTTCAGACTGACGTAGTTTATATACAAAACATAATGTTTGATTCAAGCAACGATATTATATTTGTGCAAAATCATATAGATTTTACACATTCTTTATTTGCAGTTTGTTTTGGAATGAAGTATTTTTAATTTATAACCTTGTGTTCGTACTTAGGCGATTTGAGATATCATCTTCATGGTGTGGGGAGGTACAAGCACCCAGTGACGCGCCCATCACAGTTCTGCACGCCATCGAGCGGGACTCTCGTTCCAGGCGTGGATCCCGCGCAAGCTTTGGCTAATTTGTCAAGTTTTTAGAGGTATGTGGAAACTCTGAACACGGCCTCCTAGGGATCGTTCCCAATACAGATGAGAGACAACCTTCTCCTCGTCGTGTGCTGTCTGTACCAAAAGTTGATGTAAAATTTCTTGCACTTAAAATAGAGGTAAACAATATAGTGTCAAGTATGAGCATCATCTCCACAAGGATAGATAAAAGGAATTAAGTGCTAATTTATTTCAACTATTTGAATTAATGTATTAAATGTGAACATGCGATATTGATTTGGAAAAATAAATGCAACAAAAAAGAATTAAATTTATTGGGTCTAACGATTTAATGACAAAAAGAGAACATTGATAGTTTCCGGGGTAATCTGATTTCAGGAGTGATAAGTAATTGTCACATAAAAAATTTTAATTGAGCAATGCTATCATTACAAAATTCTTACTGATTTAGAGGGTAAAGCTGATCTCTCTTGCGATGTGCCTCTAAATCATTGCCAAACGAGCGACTGTGCTAATTTATTAGCAATTGGAAGGTATGTGTGAAGGTACCCAAGAACAATTTAGATCTCTCTTAAATTATTCTAAATGTAATTACAATTAAAGCGGCCGTTCTAGCGATCATTCACACACAAATTTAAAAAATCACGCAATTAATTCATCAAGAATAAAAGTATAAAACCCTAAATAAGAATAAAGTCCCTTTACCAATCTCAATTCTCTAAATAAAACCACTTACAATTCATAATTGAATTAACAATAGAATTGAAAAGGCAAGGTGGTGGCTTGACATGGAGTGCTATGAGTAGAACAACAAGAACAAAAGAGTCAATAAGATATACTAGAAGGCCGTCTACAATTCCTAATGCAAGTACTAGTTGAAGGCTTGTGGATGAGGAAAGTGCTGAAATGAATAGAGTCTTGCAGAAAATGGGCAGCTGGCTAGAAATCTAAAATCGAATGATGTTATTTTTTTTTGTTTTAATATGTAAGACTATAAGTTATGAATTGTGAATTTGGTTGTTTTATTTTAATCAATCATGACTTTATTTGGGTGAAGCATGAATTTATTTGTGAAAAACATGACTTTTTAATGCAATTGGTTCAATATGATGTTATATACGAAGTAGATCATATTTGATTATTGGAGAATAATAGTATGTATGATATTTTCTAAGCAATGCGTCTGCCATAAGTGAGGTGAACACTTTTTTATGCCTTGCTCTTCAGGCAATTAGAATACCCTATCGCCTAATTGAGTGCGCCTCATGGCATTGACTAACTTCACTAAAACCCGTACAATATGAGTTTACATTCACATAATAAAATGAGAAAGTATTGAAGACCATGTAGTTATCTTTATACTTCATATATTTTCCTGAAATATTATTTAAATAATGTGCTCAGACACAAATACGATTTAAATTACTATTAATATTACATTACAACCACTATTTTTTAAAAGTGAAAATAATCATAGTTACTAAAAATTATTTACTAATATCGTCAATTTAAATAATGTGTCACATTTTTATTCATCATTTAAATTCTACTCAAACATCTATTACAATTTTATCTTTATATATACACACACACGGGGTATATAAAAACTTCATATTGTACAATTGTCTTGGGGCAAAGCTTTAAATGATTCTGACATTAAATTTAAAGATACAAGTAACACAAGTTACAGAATATTCCGTGAACTATGTAATTTTTATATTTTACTTTTCCGTGAACTATTGAGTTAAGCTTATAATATGTGTCGCATGTCTTACTTAATTAGTAGGGAATACCTAACGTAATATTGAGATTTGTCATTCTATTTATCATTAGAACAATATATTATTGGTGTATACAAAAATGATCACTTCTTGAACACTAATCTGTGTATACAGACATTTTTTGACTTTTTTAAACGAGGTGTCTGTCTGTATACACAAACAAAATAGGGGTGTACGAAATGGGGGTGTACATAAAAGTGTACTTTTTGTGTCATATTGCTACAATGTAATGTTATAGTATCTTAAGTTTAATAAACCTTTTTAATTGAGTGAATTGGGTCATATTTTAAATAGTAGAGTTATTAAAGTTTTTTTGAATAAAAATTGCAAATTTACTTCTTATTTTCTTGTGAAAAGTGGAGAGTCTCTCTCTAACCCTAATGGCCGTTTCCGCTCCGTATAGGGGTTGAAAATTTCTGCTGTCCCTATCAACTATTGGAGTAACAAATTATACTGATTTTAAGTGTTCTAAAGCTTGAGATTGCAACTACATCGGAGGAGACAGCGTTGGCAGATGAAAGAGTTGCGGCTGAGAGTTTGTATTAGTGCTGGATCGTGATGCCTTAGTCGGCCACTCTGACGATGGTGGAGTTGGTATTCACCCATATTGCAAGAGTTCGTCCACCTTCGGAACCACCTCCATACTGGGAAGAGTTTTGTGAAAACTTTTTATTTCAATATTATTTTCTCTTTAGTAGTACTAGTTTATGTTTTAGTCCGAGTAGATTTGGTTTGAATGTATGAATTTTTGGAATTCTTTTGATAGACAAAGTTTTAGATCTTAATTTTGCTTAAGATCTATGAGGTGGCTGTTTCAGGTTTAGCGAGTCAGGTTGCTTTGTATGAGGTGGCTGACTCTATATCTATTCCTAGGGTTCATGATAAGTCCGTATTTTGACACGTATTTGATGCGTGTTGAGATCGGCTTTTGATGATTTTCCTAGTTTTAAGGTATTACAAGTCTCAATTTTAGCTCATGTTATGTTTACCGGGCGTTGGTTCGAGTTTTGTGTTGTTTGTAGTCAAAATCAGGGAATTTGAGCCCGGCACCGACACTTGAGGAACAATCGGGATGATTTGAGAAGCATTTGAGAATGATTTGATAGCTTTGAAGGTCACCGGAAGATTCACGATGAACATTTGAAGAAAAAAAGAGCTCTAGGATTGGCTTCGGGACAAAAGAAGATGAATGAAGCTTGAAAACGACGATCAGAATGACCTTCTGTCAATCGTTCAAGCATATCTGTAACACCGTCCCCAAATATATTTACTTTCATGTAAATAATGTATTGAACCTTATTAAAGGATTAATGAATTTACGAGGTTGTAAATTTTTATTATTTCTTTCGCGTGAATAGTAAATTGCACGTGAGACCCACACCGGGAGCGGGGGCCGCCCGACACTCCCGAGACCACATATTTTATTCATCTTAGTCAAGATAATATTTATATAGTGGTGAATATTTTATTTGGGTCGTGGAAGGGCGCAGAGTTGACCGATTGGGAAAAAGAGGCCCAATTACCGGTACCGACAATTTAACAGGTAACAGCCCGGAAATGAATTTCGGAGGCTTATAAATTAAAGTTGGGGAAGGTATATTCATTATACATGTCATAATGAGCAAGGGCACATAATATATTTTATTTGACCCGATAAAATAAAATATATTTAAAACAGTCCGAAAAATACAACTTTCGGGACAAATTGTACACATCGGGACACAAAGGGATGACCTCCCACATGAGTGGGGGCCACCCCACGTTTTTGTGTGCAAGGGTTGACTAATTGGTGCCATAAGGACACATGAAGGATGGGTGATAGGATGGGAGGAACATGGTTGAAAGGTAATGGACCCCTTTCCACCCACTCATTGGCTAAAGGAGACAAAACCCACCTCTCCACCCTCTTTCATCTATCATGCTCGACCAACCAAGCAAAAGGAGGAAGGAAGGAGCTTTGCAAACCATTCCCATAGCTGAAAATTCGAGCTCAACCTAAGGGAGTCCAAAGAGGAAGATAAAAGAAGGAAAAAGTTGGGGAAAGTGTGATTTATTAAGGTAATGACCTTATTATAACTCTTCCTTTAATTTTCTTCTACCATATGAAGTATATATCATATTAAGGACCCTTAATATGGTTCCACATGTTATAAGTATGGATTTATGGGTTGGAAAGTGGTTCTATGTCCAAGAACGGACTTAGAAGCCAAAACGACCGGTTCACCGGAAAATAACCTTTTTGAGGTTATTTGTATTAACATGGGTTTTATGATTATAAAACCTTGTTAGGCACTTGTAAAGGGTATTTCAAGTGATTTCACAAAGTTGGAAAAAGTCGCCGGAGTTGTCGCCGGAGTTGACCAAGTCGCCGGAGTTTCACCGGAGTTCAACCAAGAAGGGTAGAACTTCTTAACGCTAGTTCAAGGTGAGTGGACGGCTTAATATCTTATAACTTTTGGGTTAATTATGAGATTACCTAAATAAATGTTATATGTGTTCATAATGATGTTTAAAAGATATTTAAACATGTGATTAGCCAACATTATTAAGTTGTATGAAAAGAATTAATTGTTAATGCATGAAATATGATATGAGGAATTGTATAAAACGCATATTAACTTGAAGTGTAAAAGAAGCACAAATGAGTATTATTAACTTAATTATATGATGATTAAGTTGATAGGTACAAGGCTTGAATTGGCGGTCAACGACAACGTTGACCGATGGATAATGGATTAATTAATATCGGTTGATATTGGTTAATTATACATTTATATAATTGCATGGCTTTGCATGGATTGTGATACATAAGATTTATGTATTGGATTAGTTATGAATAACTAAGGATGATATAGACTCTATCTAGGTTGATAGGAGGTTGATCATAGGAAAACTTGGTGGAGGACCCTAGTGTTAGAGATATTTTCATTGTAATTGTGATCAATGTTACTTTGCTAGTTTATAGTTAGCTAGAATAATGAATAGGCCTTTTAAGGCAATTTTGTAATAAAGGTTCTATACCTTTTTAGGTATGGGCCTCCTAGAAAAGGGAGCCCAAAATAATTGTAAAACCTACCTTTCCCGTCAGGCTATATATATGCCTTAAGGGAAAGGCTAGGTTAAGCTTTTCGAAACATTCTGTGCCGCAGTGCCTATTCTTGTGTAAGGTTTTTACGCCTAAAAACTCTCATATCATTCTGTAAAACCTTCACATCAATGGAAAGCTTCATTCCCAGATCTATCTTCCATACATACATTTTATAGACTAGAAAACAGGGACCTAACATCTGGTATCAGAGCCGGAGCTGATCGATCGATTGAAGGCTGAAAAAGCTTCTGCGCGATTCTTCATCGGCGAAGATTTTGCACTTGAGCGATTTCTGGTTCTATTTTTGTTGTTGTTTTTGCAGGAAATGGCTTGAAGGAAAGGGCTTCTAATGTTGCTAGGATCACTTCTGTGAAAAATCTCGATCTGAAAGTTGGTGTACAGGTCAGGCTGAAGTTGAGCGATTCTGCTGTTTCGCGCAACTCGCTTGAAAAGAAGAACAGGTTCGCGCAATCAGGCTTCTGCGCAATCTCAAGCATCGCGCAATACGACCTGCCCGATCTGGGACTTGCGCCATCTGCAACTCCTCCTGCGCGATCTCATACTTCGCGCAACAACTGCCCTGCGCGATCCTCATTTCACGCAACAACACCTTGCCCCATTTTGTCTTGCGCGATTTGGAAGCTGAGTGATTTGGACTTAGCATTTTCTTGTAGTTGAGCGATCTTTTAAGCAAGTTGAGAGATCTTTTTGTAAAGTTGAGAGATTGTTTTTAGAGTTGAGCGATCTTTTGAAAAAGTTGAGCGATCTTTTTGAGAGTTGAGCGATCTTTTGTAAAAAGTTGAGCGATCTTTCAAAAGTTGAGCTATCCTTCCACAACTTGGAGCAATCTTTCAATACCTTGCGCGATTTTGACCTGTACTGTACAAGAACCTTCTGCCTGAATTATCAAACAACTGAACAGGACCCCTTTAATCAACTGATCAGCCCGATCAATATTAACATGGACGCATTATCAATCGGAAATGATACAAGACCCCCAATCCTGCGAAGGGGTGAGTACAACGTATGGAAGAACAGATTCTTAAATTTTCTTGAGAGCAAGGACCAATCCTCTGGGCTTCTTGACTCTATCACAAATGGACCTGCACAATTGATGATAGCAGTTGAGAGAGATAACGGAAACAACCCACCTGTTGAAATTGAGTGGAGACCCAAGACTGTTGATGAATATGATGACGAGGACAGAGCAAGACTCCGGGCAGATCTCATTGCCAAGACCTATCTGTTGCAAGCCATCCCGAACGACATCTACATGCAGATTGACAGCATGTCAACTGCAAAAGAGATGTGGGATGAGATCTTCAAGATCATGCAAGGCACTGAGATCGGAGTAAAAGCGAAGAAAGCTAGCACATTCACTGCTTATGACTCATTCAAAGCCAAGCTTGGAGAATCACTCGAAGACACCTACCTGAGATTTCTGCAATTGATAAATGAGATGAGGAAGATTAATGTGCATAAGTCGAACATGGAGTTGAATGTGAGATTCCTTTCTGCACTTGGAGCTGACTGGAGAAAGCTGACTTCGCAGATCAGGCACACAAAGGATCTGGATGAGATGGACATCCATGCCGTGTACAACACATTGAGTCAGTACACTGAAGATTTTGAAGACTTTGTTGTGACTACTGTGACAGCTGAAAGAGAGAAAGGAGCTGTGAATAAGCTTGCAGACACCCTCGCCTTAATGCTTGACAAACCATCCAAATCTGGCTCAAAGAAGGACAAGATGATAGCTGATGAAAGTGAAAGTGCTGACAGTGACATCGGATTTTGGGATGATTCTGATGATGATGAACTTCGTGACTTCCAGAAGCAGATAGCCCTTCTTACCTCAAGGTTCAACAACCAAATGCAGAAGAAGAAGAACTCCTCAAACAACAGGCTCCGTAAGTCCTCTTCCAGCAATAACAAAAGAAAAGAGCGATCTTTTGAATCTTCTGAGAATGGAAATGCTGAGGATGCTCCAAAGTGCTTCAATTGTGGGAAGACTGGACATCTGATGAAGGATTGCAGGATGCCAAAGAGGAGGAAGGATGCTGAATATTATAAGCAGAAGATGAATCTGAACAAGAAGAAGATGTTGCTGGCAATGGAAGAAAGTACTGAGAAGAGTGCCCTCATGGCTGAAAAAGATCACTGGATGGATGACTCTGACGAAGAAGAGAATATGGCCTTGATGGCAACTGTTGAAGAAGAAGAGAAAGAGAAGGATGCTGAGAAGGAAGGAAAGATGAAGTCAACCCCTGCTGCTGAAGAAACGAAGGAGAAAGACAAAGCTGAGGAGAAGAAGAACCTGCCTACTGCAACCAATGCTGATGTAGCCACTGTCCTGACTGCTGAAAACAGAAATGCTGACAATGAAGTAAGTACCTCTAATTCATCTGTACATACTTGCTCTAGAACGGATATGCCTGATAAATTTAAGGAGCTTGAGGCGAATTATAAAAGGTTGTATGAGGTATATAACCAACTGCGTGAAAAACAGACATGCTCAAACATTAAGATAATCAATTCAGAGAAAACAATCACTAAGCTCACAACTGAGAATAAGCGACTTAGTGCTAGTGAGAAAGAGTTGACAGAGAAACTTAGAACAACTGAAAAGGAAAGAATTAGGCTTTTTGGTGTAAATAACTTGCTAATGGAAAGAAGGGGTGCTCTTTATACTAAAATCAAAGAACTTGAGGATCTGTTAGCCAAAAGGGACCAAACAGATCAGACTATTTTCCTTAACCAGCCTAAGGACACTCGGTTCTATAACGCCAAAGAAGGCTTGGGTTTGACCAATCCTCAGAACCTGAAAAAGGTCAACTGTAGACAACTCTATGATGTTAGATACATGAAAATAGGATTGACCAAACTCATGGCCTTCACTGGTGCTGAAGAAACGAATGCCCTTGAGGATGAAAAGAGAAAGACAAAAGCTGGTGTCGAGGTTCCTTTTGACTACACAGAGTTAAACAAGAGCTACAAAACCAAAGCACTCCCTTTGACCCCTGCTGAAGAAATCTTGACCTATCCTCCTGAAAAGGAAGCTGAGAAAGACGGAGAGGAGGCTTCCACATCTGAACCGATTGAGAAACCAGCTTACATTCCACCATTGGTGAGAAAGTTTGCTGAGTTAAAAGATTCTTTTGAAAAGGAAAAGCAGATTTTAGAAAAAGAAAAGGATGAACTTTTAAAAGAAATAACCTCTTTGAAAACCGCCTCTCAGTCTAACACAGCTTCTCAATCCTCTTCCCCTTCTACTTCTGAAAACACTTCTGGAAATTCAAGCGATAGTTTTAAGACTTCTCCTTCTCACCCCAAGTCTCATTCTCCGACAGGGAAAGATGTGAAGAAGAGAGTCGAGAAGAAAGGAGAGTGGATTGAAGACAAAATAAGAAGGAAGAAGAGAGAAGAAGAGTCGAGATTAAACAATAAGAGTCAGCGGTCGAGCGCCATATTTTATGTTAAGAATAAGTCTAGTTCTAGCATTAGTGAGCCATCTACTAGTTATGCTAAGAGAGTGGCTCCTAAGTCTTCTAGTTCTAAGATTTCTGTCTCGAATCGCTGTACTAAATGTGTTTCTCTGAATTGCATGAAATCAATGAAATGTTGTTGTTCTGAGTCTGTTTCTTCTCGCAAACCAAATGATCCTGTGATTGTTGATAATGTTGTGAATAAGCCCAAGATTGATAGGGTGAATGTTGAGAGTGAGGTCAAACTGCCATTTTTAAGGTATCCTCTCAAGATTCACTCAGTCAAACATCTGAGAAGGCTATCACGTGAACCAATCTTGAAAGACCACTTATCTGAACAATCACTTAGGACGAATGAAAGTTCCCTCACTCCAAGAATTGTTCAAATAAAACAAAAATGGGTTCCTAAGGCTGAAGCAGAACAATTAAAAATGAAAAATTCTTCTCAACCAGCCAGCCTAGGATCCCAAATCAAAAAGAAGTTGAAACAATTGCTCACTGTTGATAAGGAAGGACCCATCTGGCGATGGGTACCTAAGCGAAACTAATCTGTTTTGCAGGTCAGTCATGTGTGGCATCTTGATTCTGGTTGCTCGTCACACATGACTGGACAGATTGAACTACTGAGCAACTATTCTGAAAGGTTTGGAGGAAATGTGAGGTTTGGGAACAATGCTTCATCGCCCATACTCGGGATAGGAGATGTCATTTGTGAGAGCGTCTCTATCAGAAACGTGTCATATGTGCAGGGACTGAAGCACAACTTGCTTAGCATCGGCCAATTTTGTGATAATGGAATGGAAGTGAGATTCCATGCTAGGCAATGTTGTGTGATGGATATGGGTGGGACAC